CGGAAGTTAAGGCACCAGCACTGCAACTGCTCGTGCCATCTTGGTGCCTTGTTGCGGAGAATCAGGGGTTGGTCCTTCCCCTCGTCATCTTCATTGAGTACTCCCGCAATATCAGAGAAGCGGGAACTGCTGAACTCAGTGGAATGATCGATCGACTTGGAGAACGAAATGCTTCGAAACGAGTCTTCGAGGGGGCGAGGGTTGAGCTCGGGCTGGCCTGGAACTGAGCAACCTGGCTCGAGAGATGAAGTTGGGATTGAATACATGGTGCAGTGCATCCTCCGAGGTCCCCGTGTACCTAATACATTTAACTCGTATGCAATTTGTGCAATGCTGTAGCTACCGGCTGGGACCTTTGGAGAGACCTTTTTGGAGTAGAATCTTCGGCTTCGACCGAGGGTCGGAATCTGGTTGCTGTTGTAAGGAGGCTGCGTATCATATATAATAAATTTGGTTCCCAGAAAATTTGATCTGAAACAAAAAACAGTTCATGTTTCATTTTTCAAAGTGGAAATTTATCTGTTTCTTTTGTTGCAGCAAAAATAAAGAGAGCAATAATCATAGTTCAGCTAGGTGGTCATAATGAACTTGCATACCTTAGCTTTCCGATGTAACCGCTACTCGATCTCGATATATCGTCTGCAGCCAATGATATAACATACTCTGTAGAAGTAGTTCTCCTGGTTCTTTTTGCAGAAAGAAGAAATTTCCCATTCTCAACAAGTAGAGCTGCATAATTATTGCAGTGGTAATGTTTAAATCAGTATATGCAGGGCTTGATAAAGAAACTAGAGGAAAGCATAACTCGGCAGCCAATTAACGGCAATTTGTGTGAGATATGACGGTTTTCATTACGCCAAAATGAAGTTCGTAAAACAGATGCCCGAATTTTGAAATCAGTCCAGTTATTTGGGATAATTTGTGTAGGAAAAACTTATATAAACATTAAATTCATCATTGAAAGATGACATGCCATGTCTCCAGAAACATGTCACTGTCCTTACCAAAATGCTATTTCGTCTTAAAACGAACAAGTAAAAAATGGTTTTGAGTCTTGCTTGAGGCTTTCTGAAGCTTTGTTTTAATAATCGTGCTAAGACCGGGGACAGTACAGGGAGGGTCGCTCACCTCCTGGTCCACCTCCCTTATTACAATATTGACACTCTAGTAGTATGAAACATCACAGTTCTGGGATTTACAAATCACCATTGCAACAAGAAGAAACCCAAGTTCATAGTTGTAAGAGTTCAAGAAAGATTTGCTTTTATTGCACTTAACGATGTATAAAATTTGCATAGTTAAGAAAACGAGCTTACCCGGACTGAGGCAAAGATAAAGATGATAAGTTAAATTAGATTTGTTCCTTTTGATAAAGCATTGAATAGTTCCATCTCGCGGCCCAGGCTGCAAAAAGAAGAAAGTGCATATCAGCATAATTAAGCTATATAACAGTGTAGGTCACTATATAGACATTGAACAGTTGAGCAGATGTGTAACAGTCCGACTGAGCATGATGAAGATCGGGAAACTGGCGATCAGCCAAGAACAACAAAATCACAGTTATGACAAAACATTATGGAAATGCTTTTGAAAATTAAACCTTCATTGTGAAAATAATCCACATACAAAAAGCCAAATAAAAGAGTGTGAAGAACATGAACCACACATATTTATTCTATGGAAATTGTTTCACAGCCACACCCACCTGCTTCAAGGAGATGGGGAAGGTAATTTTCCCGGATAACTCGGGATTTTTGACAATTTCTTTACACATGTCCCTCCATGACCTACATACAGCAGCACAAGAAACAACATTTCTCCGAGCGGGCCAAGTACTCTCACTTGCCACCAGTCTTCTGACCACATCGCATAATAAGTCTGGTGGAAGGCTTGCCCAGCGGCTAGTCTGGATTGGCAAAGGCTCGTCATCAAACTCAAGATCCGGTTCATGAGATTTACCCCGGCATTGGCCAGGCAGCCTCACCTCAAAACTACGCCTTGATAAGCTCCCAAATCCATCCCTCACATCACGAAGTATGCTGCGGAATGACATTAACCCGATTGTACAAAAAGCCAAATCGTGTTAATGTATCTTTGAGGAGAGAGTACAAACAAAAAGGCGCTTAAAGAACGACCAGAAGTCCATCTGCAAATCCACTAAACATTGATTAGTTTCCATCTACTATACTTAATAAGCAAGAAAGAAGAGGAAGGAGACAGATAGAGTAAAGCAAAAAGCAAGGAAAGAAGATTCTTCAAAAGAACAAAAAGCAAACCTCTCACATGGACCTAAAGCAGCATAAAATACCACTCTTTTGTTAGAAACATCTTTTGGCTGGTTCTCTCAATTTTGACACAAAACTAAATTACTACTTCTTGAAATCAAACTTTCTCTACATAGAACCATTTAATTCAAATATGGAATCTTGTTACAGGAACCATACTAGCGGGCAAGAATCAACCTAATAATTCATGAAGAAAAAAAAATCATCCAGAACAGTATCATCAAATTTCTCAAACCCGTTCGAACTGTCAACATTTGGAGAAGTTCTTCACTTTCCCAGAGGTTGAAGAGTCGAGAAAACTCCAACATTTGGTATTGTGTCCTTCACTTTGATTCATCAATTTAATTAATTAATTAACTCATTTAATTAAGCACAGGATAAAAGATGAAATTGAAAAAAGGAACTGACATATGGCAACCCAGCCGTAGATTCTCATGGTCATAGAATTAATATGATCATTCGAATTTGAAAGAGGAAATGCAAAATCTGATTCTAATAACTGATCAGAAAATTAAAACTAGGAAGAAAAATCACAAAACACAGGCCAAAAAGACCAGGAAACGGGCCTCAATTAAGCTCTAACATACATTGTTAACCACAAAATCTCCCACAGATCGACAAAGAACACTCAGGAAAAGGAAAATATCAAAGCCTCGTGATGAAATCCTGCAACAGTTCTAGCTTCCAATTCAGCCATGAACAGAAATTAAATCTAACAACAAACCCAATACTCAGGACATTAATTCCCAAAACAATCAAGGTTCCCAAGAAAAGGGAGAATTCCAATAAATTAGAAAGGAAAATGAGCTCAGATATCAGACAGGGCATAGGAAATGCAAAAGAAGATGAGCTTCAAAAGCCACAAAAGCAAAAGCACTAAGGAAACGTTTTGGAATCATTACACCACCAAGAGGATTGGTGCAGGACCCAGCTGAAGATAACCCACTAAGAAGCACCTCGAACCAGAGTCACAAAAACTTCTACAGTAAAATTAATCCAAAAAGAAACCCTACAAGATTTTGAGATGGAAATTTCACTGAAATTACAGAAAAACAACACATGGGTCATGGGGGTCTGAAGATGTTATCGCAGAGGAAACACAGAATAGAGAAGACAACAAAAGAAAATCAAAACCCCAGCTCTAGAAAACGATAAATTTCGTTCAGAAAACACCCAGTAGAGGCCGGCCATTGCTTAAATGATGAAACCGAAAAGGGAAGCTCACCATTTCTTCTTTAGCTTCGAAGGGAACCCAGAGGCCAGAACCAGAACCAGAACCAGACCAGAGCAGCCCCAATTCTTCGCTCCTCTCTCTCCAGTCTCCAAGACCCGGACCCAAATCCTCTCCCTATGTCTCAGATTACAATTAAACAATGAAGTTGCTTCTTTTAATTACTTTATTGTCTTCTTATTTATTAAACTATTCAATTGGTCTCTATTTGAATTCACAAAATCCCAATAATTCCTTCATTCTGATCATAATTAATATTTCTCAATCAACCCAATTAGCTAAATCCTCCATTAAGAATGAAATACACGTCTAAGGTAAAATTCTACGTTCAGTTTTTATATAGATAATCTTTTTATTATGAAAATTTAGGAGACCAAATTAGAGGTAATATTCTAAAATATAATTTTTTTATATAATTTCTTTTTTGTTGTATTTTAAGTTTAGTCCATAAATTTTTAAATTGTTATCTAATGCATTATTAAAATTTTAAATTTGTGTCTAATAATTTCTTGTCATATTCGATATTTTATAAATTTCATAGAATTAGGCCACAACCTTTCAAAAAAATAAAATTGAAAGTTTCTTCAACAAGAAATGAAAAGAAGAGATTTGGGTTTTTAAAAAGAGAATAAATAAGAAATATGGTTTGTTGAAGAAATAATTCTCTTTAATGTAATAGCAAAATTTTGGATGGGATGAATTTACATATATAGCCTTGGACGATTGACAGTTAAACCGCGTCCATCCTCCGTTACCTTTAACCTGGAAGGCAGCGCGCATATTTGTCGTATTTTGAGTAACTAACGGCACGCCACGTCATCGTAAACGGCGTGGAGCATGTGGGGTCGGGGGAGGGGGGCAGTTATCAGGCACGTTGCCGCCCACGGATTTTCCGTGCGAACGCATCTATTTGTCGTTGATCTCGGGAGTGATGACATCATCGTTCATCATACGGTTAAATCTACGTCACGCGGCATTGATTCAATTTTGTACGATTAGGGGCCGTTCAACTCCGAAGATTGTGCGGATTCAATGGGAACCTTTTGGTTTTGTCTCCGCTTATATGGAATCTTTCAAATAATATTTTTATCTATTATTATACTGTTGTTTCGGTTTAAATGTGATTAAATTACAAGCCATTAAACTTTTATTATTCTTTTAAGTATTACTACGAATTTTAAAATAATAAATTTTTAATTTTTAATTTTGCATATAAAACAATCTTAAATTTTAAAAGTGTTTTTATATCTTTTAAAATTTTCAATTTTGTATTTAATAAGTTTTTAATATATTTAAAATTTCTTTAAATTCACAATTTATTTAATAAGTCATTAATCTTCCAATTTTGTGTGGAATATGTCTATAATTTAGAAAATATATATATATAATTGATGACGTATTAAACACACACAATTATTAGACAATTTTTAAAGTTTAAAGATTTATTAGACACGGTTTTAAAAGTTTAAGGACTAAATTTGTAGTTTAACCTTTACATTTTTTTTAAAACCAACACTAATATTATAGATGGGAAAAAGTCTTGTTTATGCAAAGAATTGCACAACACAAATTTTATGAATTTAACTCGAGTCCGGTCCTCGGCTCGACCTGAACCCGCGAGTGAACCTGCACAAGAGGGCAAACTCTCCGACGCTCAAGTCAATGTAGGTCAGACTCAATATAAAGTTCGAGATGAAAATTGATACCTGAGCGTGAAATGAAGCCCTCTATTTATAGGTGGCGGGTCCGACAGTACTCACGACCGGCGGTTACCTTTGTCTTTTTTCACGTCGAACCTATCGGGTTTGAGCACCTCGAACCCGTCCAGGTCGAACCGGGACTTTCTATACTTAGCCTTGTCAATGGGCGAACCCAACCTCCTCGACAGATTCGAAATGAACCTGAGATATTTTAATCCTTAAACATCAATAAGTGTCATCCACGTGTCCAAGGTATTTTTACCCCAAACAAGTCCTATTTGCTAAAATTTGAATTCTCGAATTCAAAATAATAAGATATACTGGCTTAGGATTTACCTATATTTTGGATGACTGATGTTTTTTCCTAGATAAATAGAAGGAAACGAGGTTCACAATTCAATCGTATTCTCACATGATTGCACTTGAGTTTTTTTTTTTATTTTAAATAGTGTACTTGAAATAAAAAATAATTAAAAAAACACAATTAAAAGAAAAAATATATACATGGAAAGATGTAACCTATTCCTATCTATAATAAAGGCGATGGTGGTGACTGGTGAGTTTGACACCAATGACCGCTCCTGCCCCTGGGCCCTTTTTGCAAAATATATCAATTAAACAATATTACTTAAACCACCCCACTATTTTCTAGAATTGACACGCGGCATCCAGATTGTACGAAATTGCAAGAATACCCCAGTTTCAGACCATGCGCGCCGCGCGTGCGGGTTTTCTGTTTGAAAGTGGTTTTCAGTGTCAGCTGAAAACAAGGATTCAACCAAAATTTCAGTGAATCTAATCTAACGCCTATTCTATCCACTTTTCTTTCCAATTATATTATTTATCTATATCCATAAATATTAAAATTAATTGATAAATATTCAATGAAGATAACAGATGATGTAAGAAAAAAGTTTCTAATTCCTCGACTATATTTCTAAAAAGTAGATACCAATTTAATTTTTCTTACTCTAAAGAACTTAATTACTTTTCTAAATTTCTACTAATTCACTAAATATTACATATCGATCAAATCATTCCTATGTGGAAAGAGTATGATTGAAAATGCTAAAATATAATTTGAACAATTGAGACTAAATTGAAAAGACACACCAACATGAAAAATTAGGGATGAAAATATATATTCCACCCTGAGTTCATCTATATATCTATTTTAATATATTCTCGAAAATTTAAAGAAATTTATGAAAATTACAATCAATTTTTTTTAACAACAATTAAAACCATGAACCATAAAAAATTCAAACAAAAATATATATTAATATAAAAAATCATTGAAAAATATTATAAGAGATGATGTAATAGCTTTATGTATAATTTTAGTAAACAAATGGTATTAGGTAATATTGAGTATGAAATTAAATGTTTTTTTTTGCACAAAAAGGCATGAATCAGGCTACTTTGACATCTAAATTATTAGGGTATAAAAACAAGCTTAAGTACAAAATTCAATATAATATGAAGTTTTTTTTTTAATTATTTTTTTCTTAAGTAAACAGTTGTTGGAGTGGAGATTGAACCATCAATTTTAAGGATAATAATATGTGTCATATCAATTTAGTTATACTCGAATTATGAAATTAATATTTCTTTGAATTTTTATACCAATACTTTTATACATTTTAACTTATGGAAAAGAAAGGTAAATGTAAGTTAGAGAAAACAAATTTGAATAAAGAAATAATTTTGTTAAAAAGATTTTTAGCAAGGGGCTACATAAAAAAGAATATATAATATACCTTTTGAGAATATTTATATATTATAAACATGAGAAAAGTTAAATCTACCCTTCCTAAGAAAGAGACTAAATCTAATGTCTCATCATTTCAACCAGACTCAAATCAATATAGTAAAAGTTGGCTGAAAATTAACTTTTGAAAAAAAAAAGGGGTAACCAATGAAAATAATGATAAAGTTTTTTTACCATATAAAAATGTAGTAGGTGTTTAATTAACCAATGGTAGGTGACAATGCATATGGGTTATTAAATAGGGGCACTTTGGGAACTATTTCTTTCTTACAATCATATGGTCCACTCCAACAGCACTTTCATAACATGTCTTTTAGTGACAAGTTTTGCTTTGTCACAAATAGTATTATTTACCATATAATTGATTTCATTTGGATTTAGAATTTTATAAGAATAATATTTGTATATTATATATACATGGACAACTCCAATTTACCAAGGAATTATGCCTACAATATGCTATGCCATATGCTTTGCCAAGAATAATGAGCATATTAGGCTTTTAAGAATAAGGTACAACCTTAAAAATAAACTACTACACAAGTTTAAAAAGAAACCTAAAAACAAAAAACTTTCAAATATTTAGGGTCCGTTTGATAACAATTTCTGTTTTGGATTTTTGGTTTTTCTGTTTTTAAAAAACAAAAACAAAAAACGAAACATATTTGGTAACCATTTTTAGTTTTCTGTTTTCAAAAAAGTTAGAAAATCGAAAATACATATTAGAGAGAAAATTCTATGTAGTGTAGGATGACAATGGTGTGGGTGTAAGTGAGAATGCTCCCCCATTCTTGTGCTCGTGAAAATTTTTAGTCTCCGTCTCGACCTTGTTATTCGATTCGAGAAATGTTCTCTAGAAGAATTATCGATTTTATAATTGTTTTTAGAATTTAAGTATAAAAAAATATAATAAATACATATTAATTATTTAAAAAATAGAATCCGAGACGGGTTGGAATATATATTTGCTTGATAAAAAATTTATATATAGCTAATCATTTTAATCTAATAAGGGTGTAACTAATGGCAATAACTTATAATTCCAAACCCAAATAAGCACAAATGGGTTTCAACTTTTGAGGCATTTAGCTCGTTGGGTCAATGTCCATAGTGTCTCTTATGGCCCAAATTGCACTCTCCAACCAAAAAGTTCATTTGAGTCCAAAGTTTACACTATCCAAACAATATCCCAACGTTAAAACTTCATATAATCATTATAGACTATGCACAAAGCAACCGCCACAATTTTTTTTAGTTAAATATGTAGGGTAGAGATTCGAACCTAGCTCGAAAAGAAACAGAATAATTTTGTTGGTAATAATTAAGGGAAGTGGAGGGTGATACAGAAATTGAATTCAGCGATGTGTCGTAATGCACTCGAAAATAGTTTCCTCTTTGGTATCATTTGGGTCGGTTTTGCCATCTTCTTCTTCTTCTCTCTTCTTCCCCCACAGAACACAATAAAGTCCCAACACCAGCAAAATTGCCCCACCAAGACTGCCAAAAACCAACCCTTTTCAAACAAACAAAAAATGGAGTCTTTTTCACCAACTTTTCTTTTGTTTTCTTTGTTTCTGATCTGTGTGAGCAGTTTATGCAGATAAATTGATTGTAAATAGAAGTTAATTGAGGAATATTGACCTTCCCCAATGGAGGGTTTCCTTCCACAGAAATGCTGATAAAATTGCTGTGATTATGAGTGCTAATGGTGTAAACATGGCTATGAAAACTGGCCCTTTCTTCTCCACTGTCCATATTTGCAGCCAATAGGTCATTCCAGTCACAATCACACCCTGCCATATTTCATACTAAATTTATAAAAAAAACAATTGATCTTCTAATAGGAAATTAGCATAAAACCTAACTGATTAATGATCAAATATTAACGGGAGAGAGGAAATGACATTGCAGAGTTTTTGGAGTATACGCGACTTTGTATTCTAGTACTATGTGTTAGGCTAAAGTCTTTAAGCTAAGTAATATGTGTTTGGCTAAATTACAAAGGCTATCCTTGAACTTTGTTTTTTTGGAAAAATACCTTTATTCTTTCAAAAGTTTCAAATATACCTTCGACATTTCATAACATTTTAAAAATAGTGTCTTAGCAAATATCTGTTAATATTTTGAATAGAAAATTAACTTGATAAAATCTAGAATTACATGGTAATTAACACGTCTCAACTTTAGCCTAAAAGTTTTATTCTTCCATGGTGCAACAATATTTGCTTCTCCATTATTTACTCAATTTTGTCACAATCTCTTCTTCCACGTGTCACCTTCTCCATTGTCCACCCCAAAAAACAAAGTACAAGAGTTTTTTCTTTCGATAATTTAACATATTTCTTAATTAAACTATATATCCTCTCGTCATCTTGAGTTGATAGATTAGGACCAATTTGTATATTTAATCCTTTATTCAACAAAAAAAAATTCAATATTGATTTAGAAGAAAATAATATTACAAGAGTTCGAAGCAGGAGACCTCTTATTATAATACTATTTTAACTCACCATCAGACGGCCTAAAAGCTCAAAGCTAACGGATGGATTACCGTAAATTTAGTTTGTATTATTAATACTTAACAAAAACCCTAAAAGCTCAAAGCTAACGGATGGATTACCGTAAATTTAGTTTGTATTATTAATACTTAACAAAAACCCACAAAACAAAAGAGAGAGAGAGAGAGAGAGATTTTTACACAGTAGGCAACAGAGATGAGTTGAAGGTTCCATCCAAGTTTCCAAGCTTGTGGGTTTCTCTCCATTGCCACAGCCCACAGAGCTGACTGTATCAAGCTGAAGAAGCACTGCAAAGTTGTCACTCTCAACTTTGCTGGATATTCCTTCACAATAGACCCCTTTAAACACACACACAAAAACAAAACAAAATACATTACAAAACTTGAAATCCCCCATATATAATTAACAAGTTTAAAATTTGAAAAAAAAGGGGGAATTTACCTGAAAAACAAGCCACAAAGACCAGGCAATATTGGCTGAAATCATCATGAGTGAACCTTTAATCCATTCCAAAGTGGAGTATGAGGCAGAGGGGGTAATTTGGTCATTGTTATTTGTTTTTGGGTACCAATTCATGAACTTCATGGGGGGCCCCTTCACAAAAGCAAACACTAAAGCCCCTGATAAGCCTATCACTGCCCCCATTAACTTGGCAATCCCTTGCATCTTTCTTATGGGAATATTTTCATACCTGATTTTCAACAAAATTACATATATGTCACTAATTGACTAAAACAAAACAAAAAAAAAAAAGTGTTTTTTTATTTTCTTTTTTAAGAACCTGAAGAGCAGAGCCAGAAGGAGAGTAATGGCAGGGATGGTGTTGGTTGTGGCAGCTGCAAATGTTGCTGATGTGTGGTTGATTGCTATGTAATAGAGATTTAAACTCAAAGTGATCCTGAAAATTTATTAAAAACACCAATATTTTTGACTTGGTCACTGAATTAACAATTTAAAGCTCAAAAATATTTCAGATAATTTCTAGTTGATTCACAATTACTTGTCACATACCCAGTTAGAGAAACCAAGAAGACTTTGGACAGAAACTTGAAGGATAGAGGAACTGCCTTCTTTCTGCCAAAAAAAAAAAGGAAAAAAAAAGGTTAGATAAGGGCGGCCCACATATATACTCGTCGAGGGCGCGTCCTAATAGCAAATTGACATCTGTATAGTGATGTCAATTTTCTATTGTCGCAGCCCGAGACGAGTTATTGTAGTGTGTACGTAAAATTTAGGACTTGAATGGACCTTTCGAGAGAGAAGGCGAGAGGAGCCATGGCAAGGGTGGCGAAAGCTTGACGGTAGAAGACGAAGACAGGCGGGTTCATTCCTGCAGAAATGGCTGCTTTAGAGAACAAAGCCATGCCTGAGTAAACACACTGAACAAACAACATTGCAACATAGGGCTTGTGGACCTCCATAGCCTCTACACAACCAACAAAGCTCTTCATGTTGTTTTTTCAAATTGGATTGCAAATGTAGGAAGGGAATTGAGGGAATATATAGACAAAAAAGTTTTCCATTGTGTGTGTGGTGTCTTTGAACTTTGAACACACCACACTTTTTTGGTCTTTCATTCCACTACATTTTGCACTAACATAATTGTTGCCTTGTTGGATGGGGGACTGTTTTTTTTCTTTCCTTTTTTTTATTGGCTGTTTTAGGTTATTATCTTTATCGCATGTGTCTGGCCCAGCTTACGTGTATTAGGTGGATGTCATGGATTTGAACCAATTCCTTCTCAATTCATTCTACTTCTTTCGATCAATGAGCTACTCATGATGGTTACCTAGACGGACTTTTTTGAAAAAATTATTTTTTAATCTCAGTTGATACTATTTGTAACCTTTTCAATGGCCAGATGTTAAAATTTCCACTCTCGCATCTTTGTTGTTCTAAAAAAAATTATTATAAAAATGTTTGTACTACATGTTACATTATAATACAATGACGTATAATTCTTGTCACCCCAAACTTTTATCCCTTTTTCATTCTGGTTTGGTTGAGATCAACTTTTGTCTAACTATATATATATTTTTATTTTTGTCATTAAATATTTGAAAAGATATATTTTAGCTAGAGTACCATTTTTTTTTTATAAAAGTAATAAATACATAGAAAATTTCAAATATTTTGGCTCTCTTATGGTTGGGATATAAAACTCACATCATCTCTCAAGTGACTAAAACATTAAATCCCTAAGAATCTAAAAAGGAATATACTAATCCAACTGTCCAAAGCATACATACATGGAATTGCAACAAATTAAGATTAAGAAAGAGAGAGAGAGAGAGAGAGAGAGAGAGAGAAAAGTATAAAATTAAAGCTACTCCAATCAATCAAATTTTGGCCCATGGAATGATTTAATTGTAACATGTTAATACTTAACTTATTGAATAATTAAAAAAAAAAAAACTATATCTTAACTTGTATTGTGTTGAATACTTATATTTTTACATTGGTGTATGTAATTGTCAAAATATCTAACACTAGATATTATCATGAACAATTCAACCAATAAAGTTATTAAAAAAAATATTGCCTGGGCATTTGAAAAAAAAAAAAAAGAAGAAGAAGCCAATTGGGCCACTATGAGTCTTTCAATCAAATCCCACTTCATTTTTTCTTCAATATATAGGGACAATTTACAATGAGCCTTCTTCTTTAGGAAAATTCTCTCTCATATACACTAATTTTTCCCACCCTCTCATTTCTTTTCAATGTAATTAAATGCACAAAAAATATATATACTTTGATTTTTGTTTCTCATCCTCTCCTTTCTTTTCAAATATGTACAAATATATATTCCTTCATAATGCAATTTAGTGGGGGGAGAGAAACTTTCTAGAATTAATTTAAACACGTGATATTTAATCTATAATGGAAGAAATAATTTGAAGGAAGAAATTGAAATTATTGTACATGGGTAAAGGAATACTTCATTGAATAATATAATATAATTTTGTAGTACTTAAACTTATAGGTATGAAGAATGGACAAATATTAATTATATGAGAGAAAGTATGAAGTGTTTTGTTCGGGAAAGAAGTATGAGGAATACAAGTAAAATCTCAAATTAGTTAGAAGTGAGAAAAAATTTAGATTATATTCTCGTTGGAATGATTTTTTTTTTTTGATTGGTAAAATCAAAATATTAATATTTGCAAAATTTGATTTAAAATTAATTAAAAATATTATACCAATATATAGAACTAGACAAGAAGAAATTCTCTCAAATTCTTTTCAGGGATGGAAAATTAATTAATTACCCACCCCGCCCTCCCACCCCTATAACAATATTTTTTTATTCGATTATTAATAAAACAAATAATTTTATAAACTAGTCAATAATAAAATGCAATATGTTTTATCATAAAATGGACATAACTTTATTTCTAATATTAATGACCACCTATACCTTAGAAATTAATTTATATGCAGTGTTTGCTGGCACCAAATATTGTAGAGTCAGGCGCTGTCCCGTGAGATTAGTTGAGGTACGAACAATCTAGACCAAACATGCATAGATATATATATATAAAAAAAAGACAAATTTATATATAAAATAATTGTTATATAATTTTTTTTCCACGCAAAAAACTCATAATCGTTAAAATAGTGGATTCCCAAACCCTAACCTAGATTTTTCAAAGAAAACATGGGGCTGGGGAGAATGCATCTTTGACGTACTCCGTCTCATCCCACTTGTCATCACTAGCTAATATGAAAAAAATAATAAGAATCCAACTAGAGAATTGAAGCTTCCAAAGACCACTTAAGCAAAATATGGGATAATCGATAATAAAATAAAATATGAGATAATCGAATATTAAGTTGAATAGCATATCATCTTTAAATGTTTTATTATCAATAGAATAACCTATTAAAATGAATGTAAATATATTCAATAAAGATTAAAGAGCACTCACATTAGCCCAATTCAGCGGCAATTGACATGTATCCCTCCTCCCGAGGTCGGATGTTCGATCGCCCATACATACTCAAAATAATAATAATAAATAAATAAATAAAGATAAAAAGCAATATTGTTTCAGCATTCAACCAAATTCCAAGGGAGGTCCCAATTTTATTGGCTAATCAACATTTTTTAGGACTTTGATTTATTTATTTTTTCTTAAAAAGTTATTTTTATTGTTTTAGTTGTGTCTAAGCCCAATTGACAACCATCCAATGAGAAAGCCAAATCATGAAAATGGAAGTCTCAAACATGTTGTTTGAGTGTATATGCACTATTAAAGGGGTTGATTTGTTGCTCACAAAATATCATTAAAATAAAGTAAATCATATCAATTATATCAGCTGACTTCTTAACAACTTTTTTTTTTCAATAAAGTACTTTTTTTAATACTTATATTTTTAGAATTTTTAGAATTATTTTTGATAGTAAAATTAAAAAACAACATAATAAATTTGAAAATTATTTTAGTTAAGTGTATTTTCACTTGTCTAAAGGTCATATTTACCCTAAAAAAAGATATTATATATATATATATAGTACATTCACGTTTTATGTACTACTTTGTGTCTGTTTCGAAAAAATATCAATTGCACTCACATCGAAGAGTTCAATTCGATACTCCAATTGTAATCCAGTATCTCATCGAGATACAGACAACTCTGAACGGTGAGTGTATAATTGCATCTTTGACATCCTTCATTAGTTCATTCTTTCACTCTAATTCGCTTTCTACATGTTGGTAGAATAATTCAAACAAAGTATGAGATCTTTCAATGAAAAAAAAAAAGCCCTTATCTATGACCACTTTTGTTTTCTCAAATAACTCTACTCCGTGTTGGCTACAAACCATAGTAAAGGATGATAGACTTTGAATTGTAGTCCAATAATAATAATAAATGTGTCAAATATTTGCAATTATACTACTCTTTTTCAAAAAGAAAATTGGAACTCAACGTGCGAATATTTTGTATGTGAATTACCACTGAACTATGCTTGCTTTCACTACGTCTTTAACTAGTTGAGTTATACTTACATTGATTTATTATTTTTTCCTTATTGTTTTATATTTTTAATTAATAAACTAACTCTCTTGGTTTTAAGTTTTCATTTAACCTTAATTGATTGATTACATTTTATAATCATATTCACATATTTCTTAGTTTATATTATTTATTTTATTAATTTGAATAAATTGTTGATAGGGAAATTTCACACAAAATTTTGAAACACACACATCCAATTTCCAAACAAAATAGCCCACTAGTCCTCTCTTGAATGGATATCCATTTTCTTGCTTCCCTCATCCCTACATCAATTTTCATTAAAATTATTCTGAAAAAAAAAGGTTTATCATTCTTTCTCTATTAAATATAGTACTTTTTTGAATATATAATATATTATTTAAATATAAGGTCAAAAAAGGAATAGCATATTTTTACTTTATTTACATTGATGTGACATACTATAAAGTTGTCCGACCCTGATGCGCGTCAAGATAGCAACTAGTAAAAGCTTAGTCATTTGCAATAAATAAATAAAAGCTTAGTCAATAATAATTAAAAAAAATAAATGTATGTATGTATATTGTATTTATGGTACAAAATAAAAAATTTAAATTTTAAAAATATTTATAAGTCTTATGTACTTTTAAGGATAATTACAAATCATAACTCTTCAAAATTTTGATAATTTTTAAAGGATGTTAAAAAAAATTTGATTATCCGAAAAAATCGATTAACTCAACTTTACTCATATAGTTTTGGTTGGGTTATAAATTTATTTTGTTTGGGTTGGATTGGATTAAAAAAATGAAAATTTTATGAGTTGGATTAGTTCCAGAGTTCACCTCAAATAAGTTTGGATTAGTCGAACCAATCCAAATTAGTATTAATTTTAAAACTATTTTAACACTGTTTATTATGTAATTAGGACGGAAAAAAACATGATATATACAACTACATAATAAACCTTAATAATTTTATAGATATAAATTTTAGAGGATGGGGGAAGAAATAAACATAGAAAAAGTTGAGACTAAATATTTAGAGAGATTACAAAAATATAGGGAGAACAAATAAAATTAGTGAGAGACAAAAGTTTTAGAAAGGAAAAATAAACCAATTTTCTCAAAATATAAGGTGAAAATAAGGGGAAATAGAACAAATCCAAATTTAAAACAATAATCATTTTAAACCTTATTATTATTATTTTTTTTTTTGACAAAAAAAATCTAAAAAGGATTTTAGAGTGGTTTTAGGTTTGATTTGAAAGTGCGAGTTATTTTAGCATGATTCTAACTCTTGCTAAAATTACTTCAAAATATGACTCGTCAACTCTAATAGAATTACTACTATATGATGTGATTTATTCGGTACAAATTATATTAAAACTAACCAACAAAATGTATGATTTGTAAGGATGAGCAAAGAATATTGAAAAACGGATCCGACCAATCAAAATCGATCGATTGACATCGGTCGGCCGGTTTGATGAAAGAATCATTTGGAGTCGATTTTATAAAATAAAAAAC